GGGGGAAAAAAAAAAAAAAAAAAAAAAAAAAAAAAACGAAACGAAATAAATAAAAAGGGATCTCCGGATAAACGAACGGAAACGCGAAATCCCCGTGCTTCCCGTTCGCCGCCGTGACGACGATAGGAAACGATGTCGTTAAGATCCACTCGAAAATCGGACCGTCCTCACCTAACCTAACCGTCCGTATAATAATATAATATAGTCTCGGCGATACGCAGTTTTTCTACCCTCCTTGTCTCCTGCCCGTGATATCGCGCGATTCACTTAGCGGTTCGCGTGGTACACGAAATTGCCCGTTAAGGACGATCCCTCCGCGCGACCTTGTAAAATAGAAATACCGAGAATTATTACGAGCATAGCGGAGATTCGCGTTACCGGCCTAGCGTCGAGAACGGGGAAAATAAATTCGTCGTCGACACTGTTAAATTGTGTTCGGATGGCGAAATAATAACGGAATGTTCAATTCGGTTGTTTCAGAAAAAAAAAAAAAAAAACAAAAATCGGAATTCGGAATGTAAAATGGTTTCCGTACGCCGGGTGCCCCACGAACGCCCGTACACCCGTTTCGATGTTACCGGAAGTATTTCTTTGTTGAAAATGTATACATTTTTTTTTTTTGAAAAATTACAAAATCCAGCAGCTTTAAAATGTCACGTTCCCGTTATTTTCTGTCGCCGTTGCTTTTTGAGGGGCGGCGGGCAACGCAAATGCCATATACAAACGCGTAACGTTAGTTCAAACACACTTTGGTGTTAACGCGTTCGATTTCCGTCGCCCCGTCCGTTCCACTTTCAAGACAGTGGGAGACAGTGAGCGGACGGCTATTGAAACGGCGCACAACCGATAACCGGACTTCAGTTTCTCGTCACCGGATTGGGTTAGGTCCGAGATGGCACTAGCGGGTATGTGTTCGTGGAACACCCTGTACGCGTTATACCGCGACCGCGTACGCACGTGCCGTTACGTGTAACGTGTACGCGTACGCAGAACCGGGCGGTATCTCGCACGCGCGTCTCGGATACGAGATATCGTATCCGGTACCGCGGTGCAGTCGCGCTGAGTGTCGATAGCGACGCGTATTGCGACACCGGCATCGACGTACCGTCTGGAACCTAACGTTTCCTTTCCGTTTTTTCGTGTTTTTTTTTTTTTTTTTTTTTTTTCTATTTCGATCCGTTTCGTCCCGCGCCCGCCCGCGGTAGTCGTATCGCGCGCGTTCAACGATCGTCATAGTAATATGCGAATATTTATGCGCATGTCGTCGAACGAATCATCCGATATCGGATTCGGTGCCGTCCGCCGTGAAATAACCGTACACCGTTGCATCATAACAATACGAAACGTTTTCGGTGAAACGGAAATTTTTAAAAAAAATTATCGGTTGTGGATTTTTTTTTTTTTGATTTTTTAAGCCACTCATCAGGTTGTTCGCGCGTTAAACTCGATCCGGCCGGGTCGGTTCGCGCGTACCAGCTCCGCGCGTTTTACGTACCCACGTAGGTAATATATTTACGGGCGACACGACAAATGGCACGATTGAATCGTCGGTCTCGCGGAGTGGACGGCCTGAATCGCATTCGTAAAGGCAAACTAATGTTGATCGAACTAAACGATGTGGCCCCCTTGTGGCCCATTACCTCGCCCACCTCCCCGGACCGTTTGACGGCCACTGCCTTCGGCGATAAAAACCCGCCACCGTCCCGTCGCGTTTTCTCGCGCGAAATTTCCGACAGTCTTATTCGACGGCGTGAACAATGAACAGTACGACGACCGCACGCGACGTCATCGTTTACATTCGTGTTACGGTTATTGACGGACGTCAACGTTTCACGATAGAAATCGGACACGATTCGCGAATACGACGGAAGGCGTTGGTGCCCGTTTTATTTTTTTCCCATTTTTCCACGCACGTACGGCGACCGCGTTGTCGCGCACCGTAAAACTGTTACACAGGGGCTGCAGTCGGACCGATTTTTCTAGGACTGTCAACGTTTAATTGTTGTTGTTTTTTTTTTTTTTTTTTTTTATCATTGTTTTTTTCAAATATGATTTACTTTTGGGGCGGGACATCTAAAAATTGCATTTTCATTTCCATCCCCCACAAACCAATTCACTTTACAGCGTTTCCAGAATAGGCGGTGGATTTCGTAAAGGCGTATAATGTTCTAATCATTTTATTGTATCATACATTTATATCCGATCAATAGACCATAACTCAATAAATAAAGTTATTCTCTATCGCGTTACGTATTATTCTCATTTTTCACACCTTTCCTCTGGAAATTAATACGGCCGTTACCAATAAGAAACTATTGATCAAATATGAATGTATGACTAATTCAAACAATAATATATTTTACGAAACGCCAATTTTGAAATTTTGCGATGTGAATAAATTAAGTTGGTTTTTTTTTTCTGAGTGATAAAGCGATGTAAATAAAAATGTAATATTTCTCAAATAGATGTTCGCCTTAAAGCAAAACAAATTGAAAAAAAAAAACCAAAAAAAAATTGTTAGCTCCAGAAAAATCCGTCGAACAAGGGGGGGGGGAGCCTGTATATTATTACTATTAGTATTCCGTTAGGATTTTCGACTCCGCCGACTTTGTAAAAGCCATAAAAAAGCGTACAAAACTTGTGTAAATAAATCTATATACGTCCAAACCGCGTGCATCATCGCGGTATTGATAATTATTTTTAAACAAAAACCATACTCTCAATCTTGTACATATTATTACTATTATTACTATTATTTGTATTCTTAATATTATTATTATAAGTTAGCTTAAGAGTATATTTATGTTAAAACGGTTTATATAAATATAGAAATAAGCGTCCAGGACGAACGGATCCGTCTGTTCTACACCATCTAAGAAAAAAAAAAAAATAAAATAAAAAAACGAGCCATCATTGGTCAGCGTTTTTTTTTATTTTGATAAGTCAGGGGCAAATTCTAAAATTCTTCCCCGGACCGGCATTATAGAATTAGATTTTCGGAAAGCACCAGAAGGGCGAAAATAAAGGCGTATAATCAAATACTGTGCATATTCGGCTAAACAAATTATCCGAAATTATTATTACTCGATAGTCTGTTGTGTCGACTCTCGGTAATTCCAAGTTGTTTGACTTTTCGCCGCGTTTTCGAACATTTTCGAGACTTTAAAATTCTGTTGATTAGATTTTGTATTAACTTATTTTATTTTTTCGTATTCCTCTTGATCGAAATTGGAAGTGTCCGTCTTCCTTCTTCGTGTCCAAAGTTTCTACGGTTACCGCACCGAATAAAAATATACAAAAACAATTACGATATTTTAACAATGGCTTTATGAAGTTTGGAGACTCTGGATGTGTGTCGACCGGTATCTAATGGATTCCCGCGGTCTTTTCGTTCACGGGAGAAACGCTTTAGGGTTTTCGGCTCGATCGACTCACACGATTCGTTCATCTTCCCGCGCAACCAATGAAATATCGTGATTTTCAAAATCCACGGACCGTTTAAAACAAGGGTTCCTAAAATGAAGGACGTGCTTCCCTAGCGTGACAAAATTTCAGGAAAGGCGTACAAATTTTTCAAAACCTCAAGAAACATATACACATTTATATATATATATATATATATATATATGTACTCCAACGTTATGGTGGCGGGATGGAGACGAGATCGTATGCAATACTTTGAAAGGGGGAGCCTGGATCCCTAAAGGTTTAAAATCCTTAGTTTAGATTACTGATATGTGATATCAATTTAAACGCGATAATACGGTACATGATACAGTGTATTAGGAAACGGGGCATTTATAGTTTTTTTTTTTCGGCCCGTTCGGGTCAACGTTTATTGTATCGACGTAAACGTCAATCTGAAACGTCGTCATTTCCGGTAACCCGGAAAAATGAACAAAAGGCCGAAATTTCGCTGGGCGGGCTGGTTCATTGACCCGAAACGCCCACCCCTTCGAACGGGGGAAAGGCAAAAATATCGCCGCTACTATCGTGTACACACATCACGACGTGTTTATACATTGTCCACCATACGAAATACGTACTATACGCACAAATGGGTCTCCAGAGTGTCTTTTATCCGCCTTTTTTTTTCATCATCCCCTTTACCCCGTTGTAGTCTGGATGCCGTTGCTCGCGGGAAGAAATCCGCTTCGTATATTCGGCGATCGATACAATATTCCGCCGACCGTGACACGGTGACCGTCGAAAATACTAATAATAATCAACAAATAACCGAATATTCTATAGTTCTTTACCCAACCCCTTTTTCACAGACACCGCTGTTAAAATTCACATATCCGTCGAGTTCTTTGAACGTCTAAAAAAGGTTTCTCATCGATTTCAATTAGCCGACAAGTTTATAATAGATATTATATAACGGATTGCAAATATTTTTTTACCGAGACACAAAAACACAAAAACATTACGAACATAATGGATTTGGTTTTTTTTTTTTTATAATACACTGGCATATCACCGACCTTTTTTTCGGACTGTTTTACTTGTAGTATAATATCAACAATTTTCCGTCTAATAGTGATCCGGCGTTCCGAATTCCGTTTTCGGCGGTCTCTGGTAAAAAATGTGTTTCATTATTTTTGTTGAAAAACCATACAAATTTATGGACGGAACATGAAACCCCGATGACTGAGAGACGTGATGGACGGCGGTCGTGTCCAACGGATTAAAGGAAATTGTCTCGGCATATAAGGCGTACGAGAAAACAGCATATTTACCCCGAGGACAGTCAATAAACAAATGTGTATATGAACCTAATATGAGGACTCGTATTTGTTTATTCTTCCGTCTAATTTTCAGACCACTGCCACGAGTTGTCATACTGAATCCAGTGACGTAATCAGAAATTTTGATCTTGGTAGGCAAAAGGGTACGATAATAAGAAAGAATACGATAAAAAGAAAAAAATTAAAATTTCGTTCAATAGGGATGTGGGCATACGTCCCATTAATTCCCTCTCTGGCCAGGCCCGTCGTAAGGTATTTTCCGCCTTAAAGCGAACATTTTGATGCCGGTCTTTTTTGACGATTATTAATTTTTGCTGCTTCAATTTTATTAAAATTGTATGCCATGCGCATTCCACCTCTGGCCATACACCACTGACCGAATGTTCCATCTATACAGTTGTGTCATAAATATGTCATTTATGGTAAAAACCGCTCGTTGTATATTATCTCTACATAAGTTGAATTTCCGAAACTTTTTGATAAAAAAAACAATGAACCGATTGCGTTTTATCGTCATCAAAATTCAAAACTCTAATGTAAACTTTATCGTTCTCTTTTAACGACGATTTTATGAACTCGTTTTAATTTCGTAGTGCTCACACACGTCCTGTTATTAACACAAATAAAACTAAATATTGATTTTTTTTTTTTTTTTATGTTTTTGGTACGATCTATGATTTTTCGGTTTTATATTTTAATTGTATTGTATTTAGAAAATTATTTTACGAACCTGTCCCAATCGAACACCAAAGATTGTTTGTAGGTATACATTTTTTTTATCGTATTTCATTAATTTGTTAAACATCAACGATGATATTTTATCCACGCTGACACGATGTTAGTGTAGGTTGTCTTTTCTGTATACGTAGAAAAAACTGGGTAAAATTTGTATTTGTATTTTTTTATCTCTTCTCGTTTCCTCAAACGGGACTTTCCTATATAGTTTATAATATATAACTATAAAACTACGCGTCAATCCGCATAACCGGATATCGACATGACGTTCTGATGTAATACTTCCGCGTTAATATGCGTTTTTTTTTTTTTGTTACTTTTACAATATTTATGTACTTATTTGTATATTATTTATATTTACTATTATTATTACGATTTTTATCATTTATTATTGACTGCGATGTTTATGTGTATAAAAATAACATTTTTTTTTTTTTTTTTACTTCCTAATTCCGTAAACATTTCCTACAAAAAATCGTCCGAGTTTTTCGACGTTTACCTAAAAGTATTGCAGGTCGATCCATTTTCCGCGTCCATACAACAATAGACGGCAAAAAAAACTACACGGAAACTATAAAAATGGCCAAGTCCAAAACTTCAAAACCTTATGTACACGGGTGAATAACTTTACCGAAGTACAATAATATAATACCCAAATAAACATACAAGTAATGATTTTTTTTTTTTTTTTTATTGACTTGTTATTCGTTCTTTTGAACCGTCTCAGCCCACAATCAATTCTCGAGCGCTATCTGCATTCCGAATCTATCGCCAAAATTATCTAACTCGGTCCACTTCCCGTCAATTTTTTATCAGCTGAACATTTTATAATACTTTTCCAATATTTGTATACACGTATTAATTGATATTGTGATGTAAATGATAAAAATGTATGAAACGTGATAATTCTCCGAATCATTAAGCTATCGTCAAAATAATATTAAGTCAAAACTAGATGGACTGTACAATATTAGATAAGTATTAAGAGAATGGTCAACTCACATTAGCAGCCATGTTTAGTGCAAAATATTAATGAAGAATGTGAAGAATGAATGTGTCTAACGTTCTAAGAGTAAAAAATTGAAAAATGAATTATTTTTTTTATGTATAGTCAATGTGTTCGAGGCGCAATAATTCGGTGTGTGTTCAAGTGCCAAAACCGATTTGTTTCTAGTACGAAAATTAGTTCATAGCTGGTCTGTTTCACGGGTTTTTCGACACACGTACGTTCCAAACAAAAATTACATTTTTCAACACTTAGAATGTTTGACACATTCGCTCTTTAAATATTTCAAATTCAAATTATGTATACCCGTTTAAAACTCTAATAGAACATATAAATCTCTATTGTATCGCGTGTAAGAAATTTTGTTTTATTTGTCTTTAACTCCCATGGAAGAAGGGCTTAATAAGTCCATATTCGGTAATTTTTTTTTTATTATAATATATTATATGTTATAGTTTTGTCAAATGTAATTTTTTCTACTTTATTTTTTGTATCTTAGTTGTATAATTGTATGATTATTTCAAAATTATTCTAAGTAGTGTATTAGTTTATGTACAAGTGTATGTAATTTCCAAATTTATTTTGCTTGTATAGAAAACTATACTAAGTTGACTTAAGCCTTTCTTCCCTGTGACCAGTGGCGTACCTAGGGGCAGGGCTGGATTTTGACTTTCGGATACCTGGGAAAAATTTTTTTTTGAGACTCTTAGCAGTAAACGAATTAAAAATACCCAATATCTAAGTATTTGAGGAAAAAATAAAAAAATTACAAACTTGCACGTTATAACTATCTATCTGAAAAGCGTTATTTCAAATTTGAAATACTGCTGTTTATGTATCACAAATTTTAAAATTAATTTCGATATAGCAGTGTTTTAAGAGTAAAAATATGTATATTAATCTCGTAACATTTTATTTATTTATTTCATTTAACAACCCATAGAGGTGATGAGTACAAAATATTACTGTACAATACACGACCACTTAAAATTGCTTAAAACTAATGTAATACAAACACTTCATTACAATATTCCTTAATTCAACAAGTGAAGCAAAATATAATCAAAGTTCAATATACTGTAACCATGGACCAAAAGTTGATACTCCGGACTATTAGCAATTAAGTTGCTTTATTTATTAAAATGTTGAAATCAAATGTTCACACTATTACGTGAATAATTTCAAAACCAAAATGACGGACATACTTCGCACGGTGGATGCAATCACTGTTGTCGGTGAAAAGTACTGAAGGTAAGATATAGAGGGAAAATTAATTTATATCTGTAAACAACGATCAATCATTGCTTACTAAAAACGATTTTGAGCGGAGTTCAGTTGATAGTGATGCTTTGTTAACAATATATACGTCGTATTATGGTAAAATAATTAAATTGCCATTATTTATTTTCATTAACAATATTTGTTTAGTATTGTACCGATTTTCTCGTTTTTCCTGGCTTTTCATATTCGCTGGGAAAACTCCTGAGAAAATTACACCGGAGTAAGCTTTCTGGCAGGAACGGTGTTTAAATAGAAAAAATAAGCATCTTTGTAAAACCAATACATTCTTCGTTACACTAGAAATCTAAAAAAACTGAATGTAATTTCGTATACGTAGTAACTACACACAAAACGAAAAACACGCACGCACGCAACAGTCTGAATTGGCTGTTAAGAGTTTATTAATTTTATACAAACACAAATTGTACAACCACTGGAACGTTAAAAAACCTGTACAGGTACTATCACATTTCGTGTTCGCTTGACGTCCCATTGCCATTAGGTTGTCACGTGGAACCTCGACGTATACATGTGCAGACCAAATCATATTAATACAAATCAAACAGTTTTAAATTTTTCGTACAGCATTCCGGTATCCGGATGCCCCCGTAACATCTGCTGCCCGGGGCAAGTGCCGTTAAAACACTCCGTCAAATACGGCCCTGCCTAGGGGGATGGTGGCTAATACGGTTTTACCCCTCCAATGGGCCGTGTCAGATAGAACCAAATAATAAAAACTATTCGGCATTGACGAAATCGTAACTAATAAAATAATAATCGTTGCACATTTGCACTACTTATTCACCTGAGCGCTGCACAATAATCGTGTATTTTAAAAAACGTTTTTTTTTTTTTTTTTTTTAGTTTATCCTCCCCCCCCCGTCTATTTAAAAATCCTGGGTGTATCACTGACGGAGACCGAAGATTTAATGTTACCGAGTCAGCCATTCTCTTATACCTATCATCTCTAGTCAAAACCATATTAATATCAATCTAGACCGTATATAAAGACGATCGATTTCTTAAATAGAAACACATTCACTCGGCCGGGTATTATAACACAAATGTGTAAATGAACCTAACGTAATATTATAACGAATAATTTTGTTTATTAAATGTAAATTTAACTCGTTATATGTAATATTGTACCACATAATGTATTGTAGCGACGAATAAACATAATATTATTTACGGACGTTTTCGTTTTTTTTATGCAGTGACTAACGGCTAACACGTCGATTGTTTAAATGAAAATCCCATTTAACCGATTATCCGTGGGCAAATTAGTACCTAGACCGTTTCGATAATATAAAACCCTATCTTCAAATGTATTACATAAAATACGTACCCATACTATTTTATTACCGATGAACGTTACTATTTTTTTTTTTTTCAATACAAACATGTTTTAACTGAAATTATTCAGACTTTGTGTGACCTAAATATTTCAATGTATAAATGACTTTTCTGTCGTGCAGTTTTGAACACTAATCGATTTGCGGCTGACCGCAAAAAGCAAATTTTATGACAGATATTATACAAAATAGCTGCGAAAAATTGCCGACATTTTCCTGTTACCCTCGTGTCCGTGAGTAGACAAAATGAAAACGGACAAAAAAATGTTTCTTTTCACTAAGTACAAATAAGACGTGTTCACATTGCACAGATATAAAATTTCGGGATTGTCAATTTTTCGCGTCAACCTAACACTGGTTCAAGTACATCTAATCGACAACATAATATGTGACCGAAAACTGCAGAAACGAGTTGAATGTTAAAATACAAAATACGAAATAAACTTTGAAATTAAATTCGACACTAATATTGCAAAAAGCAAATTAACGGAAGCGTCATGTGAATGGAAAACTGTAGATAAACTTGAAACGCTAATGCTAAAAAAAATTTAAAAAATTGTATATTATTTCGAACGGTTATCTAGGTCCGGAGTTATGATAAATAATATGATGTTATGCTTTCCTTCTTCGTTTTTTTTTTTAAACCGTGGAAAAATTCATTTAGTCCGCCTCTAACACTATCATAATTTTCTGGTAAGTAAATAACCGGCGTTGGTGAGTTGATTCCCGAGACTTACTTTATGTGCACTAGTTGATACCTGGGTTTCTGTTAGACGTGTACGAGTCGATTACCTTATTATTGTATATCAGTAATATGATACATCTATATTGCGATAATATGTTGAAGTGCTCAACTTCAGCCTGTTAACGTTCCCCAAGAGACACCACGAGGGGGTTGGCTGACGAGTCTCTCGAACGTTTCCTTCTTTTTAATTTGTTCACATTTTCGATCATGTTACGTTACCATGACAACTTTTTTGTTTTTATTTAGAATATTTTAGATAGGTGTTAGGTATTAGATTTATCGTCATATATTAGTCATATATTAGAATTGCATTTTAGTTTGCACTAGGTAAAAATTTAAAACACATTAGCTTTGACAACTGATTTCTGGTATTGAGATTACCAGTATACTTATACTCATCACTTGAGTATCAACAACTTCTTTTCCTTGGATTTTCTAGTCTCGTTTCTCTTGCATTCGATATAATATGTTTCCGACTGTACTTCTAACTGACTTAAAACACTCATAAAAACTGGCATCTAAAATAAGTTATCATTACCAAAAAAATTTGATAAAATACCTGTTATTTTCGTTAGTAATATACAAAAAAAAAAAGAAATCAATTCGTACATACCTCTTAATGGCCTCGGAATCAATTCACCGATATCGGTGCAGGTAAACGGGCGTCCGGGAATCAACTCGTACACAGCCGTAAATACGTTTACACGATTTTTTAGTAGTTTTTATACCTATCGGTATTTTAAAAATTTCTGAAATTCATAAAGGTTACAATTTAGCAGAGGACACTTATTATCTCGAAAAGTATTAACTTTTTCCGGAAATTTTTCGTTGGAAACATAAGAAATAAACAGCTCTAAAATTATTATGCATGTGCATAATGTGCAACATTATATTTTAATGTAACTCATATTGTATAATTGGTTATAGAGAAAAGAGACAGTTTGATGATTTAGTCCGAATTTATTTTCTCTTCAAACACCTAAAATATGATGATAATATTTTCTTAAAAATAATGAAAACTCGCAAAGAAATTCGTTGTTTTCACAAAATATTCATATTTTAACTTTCCCAGTTTATTACTTATTTTTTATTTGGTAGGTATAGATAAAATGTTGACGAAAAAATAATAAACGTAATAATTACGGCATTTCAAAATATGTCACCGAGCTTCGCTCCGAATCGTTTTTGTTAGCTGTGGCTAATGACAATCTATCAAAGATTTTGTTGTAAAATATCTAATTTATTCAACAAGGATACTCACAAAACGATTAGAAAATTAGAAACCAATAAAACATTATTTTTATTTTAATACATTTCTTTTCAGTAGACTACATTTACTTTACAATGACCAATTTTCGGGAGCGCTGATTTTAAAACTAAGGGTACTAAGCACGTCCAACCCTTCCCCCTGTAATTGCTCCTATATCTCTACAAACTTTTGATTTTCAAATACCGTTCGACAATGGTAAGGGTGCGCGAAAAAACGATCATAGTCAATAGAGCGTCAAAATGAAAACAGTTACATCATCTTGTAATTTTTTCCATAACGAACTGGTGCATGAACCGAATTGAAAGAAACAGATCGCGGTCCACGGTACAGTAGAATTTTGAAAAAAAACTACGACGGTGAAAATCCCGTGCCTGAGCGGAAACTAGGAAAAACACAATATTGAATATTTCGAGAATATTGAATTATTTACTATGATCGTTTTTCTCCGTAGCCCTTCAAACGGCAACCTATATAAAAAGATACAAATATATTATAATTATATGCCATACAAATTTTCCATAAATGGACGAAGTTTAAGTTTTAATACATTTCGGTGTAGACATTATTAATTTCCATCTAGCCGTCGGCGATATATTCCACTTAAAAGTTTTTAATGTTGTTGATAGGTGAGCTAGAGTGTAATGGAATATGTGTGGTGGAGTAACGTGACTCTCTCTGGAGAATAAAAAAAAAAAAATGCGAAAAAAGTTGATAGTCAATGATAATGAATAACTTTTAACCTATGAATACCTATTAGCGTAAAACCACTCGAATTTACTATATCATTTTGCGACTTGGCTTAAAAATACGGTCGATAATATCATTCCGGTGATGGATGATGACTGAGAGATAATACCGAAACATTTCCAAAGCACCTCGATTTTAGTTTTATTAGTTTTTTAAAAGTCTCCTGTAAGGATGATTTTTTTTTTTTACGTACAAGAACTACTTTACTGGAATGTTGTTAAAAAACTGCTGTCGAGCTACCTATACCGCGATCTAGTAGTTCGGTACAGGACTACTGCGCGAACTCTGCTTATTTCGGGTCGCACTTTCGAAAATCTGTTTGCTAGACGGCGCCACTATATCGGGAAAAAAAACGACTGTGGTCTGCTACGTCTGCGGTCTAAATGTAGATGTATCAACGCTTTGAGTTCGAGATCCGATTATATTTTTCAGACCGCAGCTTGTCCCTTTGAACTTCTGCACGAGACGTTTTCTTTGACATTACAAGATGACGGTTGAACGAGAGTAAACAACGCAGTTTCTCCAAAGAATCGGTCGTCTAGTATGATACCAAAACGGTGTATCGATAGCAATTGAATGAGCAAATGAAGAGTAAAAAACAAACGGCCATACTTCGCACGATGCGTGGGCCACTGTTGTGAGTGAGGAGTTGGAAAGGTAGAGGGGGAATTTTATGTATTTCTGTATACAACGATTTATTATTGCGAATGAAAAACTATTCTGAGCGGAGTTCGGTTATAGGTACATGTTTAGAAAAGCCGCTTTATATTTACGGTTTTCGTCAATATTTCTTTATTTTCGAAATTCTTACAAGTAAAAAAATTCTCCGTAACACTCAATGTACTACGACTTATAATAGACCTGTTAAATTGACAAGCGTTTCTGTCTGGTCTAACAATTGTATCCACAGAGTACCGAATAAAAAATAACGTAAAAATCTCGCAAAACTAAAATGTTTCTAAATAGTTAAAAAAAAAAAAATGGCCCAAATGTTTTGGAAATTTTACCACGTCTAGAAAAGGTCTAGATGGGTGTGCTAACTTAACGGTGGAAGCAGAATAACTCAAAAAACGGTTCGTTCGAATTTCGATTACAATATACGTTTATATTTTCGGAAAAATCAGCTGTTTACATTGCATTACATTTAATTTGCATTAAAACAAGTAGGTTCTCATTTGAAAATCCAAAGTAGGTATCGCTACGGGATACTTCATAAATATTGTGAACAATCGAAGTACGTGCAAATATCGCCTTACACTACGCTTACAAATTCTAAAAACCATAATTTTAATTTATGCATAATTTAACCATAAAAGTGGGGTGAGCATATTTAAAAAATCATCTGTATGATTTGTTTAAAAAAAAAAAAAAAAAAACTTTTGTTTCGGTTAATTTAGTTTAAACGACAGGTGCTTATATTATATAATAGTTTTTAGGAATGCGGGGAAAAAAAATAACATTTATGAATTACACAAATTAAAAAGAATGTTAAAAAAAAATAAAACACGTGTAGAGGTTTACTATTGAGAAGAACTAATGATTCCTAAAATAAAAATTCGCGAGAAAGGATAGGTTTTTATTTACGATTTTTTCGAATTGAATAAAACAGTTTCCACGGTCACTAAAAAATAATAATAATAACAAAACAAAATGACGTGATCACTTTATCAGCAAATGCAATTGGCTAACCGTTTTATTTCTCAGTTGTTTTTAATCGTTTTCGAACAAAACTAAAACGATTCCGCGGGAAATTAACTTTATAGATTCAGACGATATATTTTACCACTCGGACAATAAACTGAGAAAAAGTGGATACAAACTTTCCAAGACGAGTTTTTTTTTTTTTTTTTTTACGGCCGTCACGTTTAAAAACTGTATTACTTAATCGTGAATCAAATTCAATCGATCAGTCGTTCTTAGGTACAACTAAAAGGGTGGACGTTTTGATGAATTCCAATCGAATAATATTTCTTGTATTCTAGACAAAAATATTAATTTGCAATTTTTCGCGATTTTTACGAGTTTTGTCGAAATATCAACTTTAAACGC